TTACATTTCATTTGCTCTTTAAATGACAAAATTCACCGTGTGGACATACATGTCAATGCAATTTTGTCTAGCATCCTGCAGTTAACCTGCGACTACTGTAACGCATAAATAGGCGGAACCAACCTTCCACTATCGCAAAAAGGGCCAAACACATTCAAAAGCGATTTATGAAGTCGATGTCGCAACACCCACCCGATAGTCAATTGCCACAAGGACCCAAGGTCATCCATTGCAAGACACCTGCTGACAACCAAGCATACGACTGATCCCGCTTATTCTCTTGAACCCCTATCGCAATGCAAGAGCGTTGGAAACAAGCGAGGCGTTGTTAATCTTATTACACCATCTCGTTTTGACGGAATCAGTTCACTTGCTGTGTAACTTGCTTTTAATTTTATTAGTCCCCAGCTGTCTGTACACTTCCGTTCATTAGAATTTACCGACTCGATATGCTAATACTTGTGGCTATTTGCTTTATGTCAGTGATTCGGGGATTAAGTGAAATGGTATCATCTTGCAACATTTGTCTTCTTTTGGTATCCAGTGCTTCAAAAAACAAACAGTTCTATTTCAAGGTTTCCAGGTTTGCTTTCCCATTTTATTTCATTTTGAATACGGAATGAGTTTAATAAGCACGTTTAGAAGAATACTTGTGGTTTGATTGTGATTGATTGGCAGTTTTGATCAATAATATCTGTCAAAGGACACAGTGAGTTTTGAATCTTACATACTATTAGATTGTGCTATCCTCACAAAATGTTGGTATTCCTATACGTGGCACTCACCTGTCATTCATCTGTCGTCACGGCTTTAACGCGTCAATCACCGTGCATTTATTGGAGTCCGGTGAGCTGCCAGATGACCACATGTTGGAGTAACTTGGAGAAACTAAGTTCCACAAAGTCCGTATTTATATAGATTAGATTACCAATTGCCAATATATGGTGTATTATCGTTATCTTCCTCGTTGAGAGTGAGCAGGATAGAGGAAAGCACCTAGAAGTGTGCATTGTGAAAGACGCCTGTTGTTTTGTTGGTACCTGCAAATAAATAGTCATTGTGATAGAGTATGTCCGAGGAAGTCGGTTCTTAAGAGCAAGATTCAACATGAATTTGTAAATCAACGCTAGTATTACGATTGATCGTTAAAAGGTAGTCGCACAGACGAATTGCCGTAGTAAACCATAATCGATAGAGTTTGAATCAAATTGCAATGACCGGACTTCATTCACATCTGAGGGAACGTTTATAGGAGAATAAATTAAAAGCGTTGTGGTGATTGCTGATTTCAAGATCGAAAGAAGACATGTCGCGAGATGTTAACATTTCGTTCAATTCTGAACTTGACCTCTTTTGATGGTCTACCCTTGACCACATAAAGAGGATGGAAGGCCACAAGCATCCGTCTCCACAACCCCTAGTCTTTTGTGGACCCAGAAACATTTTGTGAGAACGGTGGTCTTACCGTGGTCATCCACTAACAATCTGGTGGCGTAACCCCGTTTATGAACCCTCATTCATTCACCCATTCACAACCACTCTGTCTTCCACTTTCCACGCTCATACACAGACATGCATGAAGTTATTACATAGTTGCCGAAAGCTAGTGAGCTTCCGTAGAAGGGTAAAACTGCAATCCCAGTGTGTATCCATTATGAGGTTTCGTCGGAAAAATTCGTGTTTTATTCATTTGGCCATGGAGTAGCAGATCATATCGTTTGTTTGTTCACCGCAAATTAGCTAGCTTATCTGATATGAAGTTTGTTGATCTTAGCAGAGGCAAGCTCTCAGCCAGAAACATTCTGTGCTTGCCTTTTACAAAGAACTGAGTGATACATGTAAAACTCACACAAATGACGACAGTTATTTATGTAGCACTGCATTTGAGAAGAAAATCCCCTGTAAACTGTTGGCTATCTGCAACTTCTGACAAGAAAATGGGAAAATTTAGTGACTAGTTTCACCGATTGTATGGGGTGATTCCGACAATTTCAGACAGTTTTGAATCAACGCTTCTTCTATGCAATCCGTCTATCGTTCCTCTCCAGTACCAGTATCTGGTGGCATTTGTGTTTATAAAATGCATCTTCCGCACATCCAGTTTGCGTTCGTTTCTGGGCACGTTACTGCAACCGTACTCCAAGGTGGACATAAATTAGTTAGCATCGGTTTATGTATTTTCATTATTAACTATCAGATCCCACCACACCTCAGGATGAAAATAAGATTTGGAGTGTAAATAACCGTGGAGATGATTAGCATTTCTCCAGTAAAACCTGAACTATGTGTGCAACGAAAGTGCTTGATCGCCCCTGACCAAAGGAATAGAAAAGCGCCCTTGCCTACAATGGCGAGACCGCGTAGTTCTGACTACGTAACCTGAGCATCTTGTTATATGCCTGGATCGGAGAATAAATGCGAGAGACAGAAAAATGTGAACCGATTCTGAGCGTGGGTGGGCAGGAGATTCTCTGATCAGAGGTAAGAGAGGAAAGGTAAAGGCATATATTGGCCTCAAATTTTCAGTATGACAAACAGGCCACACAATCAAACTGAATGAGAAGTTCCACGGCACATAACAATCATGCCCATTTGGAAAGATTTGGACCTGGTTTGTCATACATACATTAACTACCCCCTCTCTCTTTCTGTTTGATCAATCTATATGCTTATTTCAAATAAATATGATCAGTCCTTTCGGGGAATGAGTTAATCGAAAGTACGATTGCTTACAATGTAGTAATGAAAACCAGTCCCTGATATAGGTATTTATTGGGTTATTTCAAAGGTGAAAAAAAAATCACTAGACTAGATCTGCATCAAATAAAGGATGGGATAAACACGGATTTTCGAAGAACAGGGAAATTGTTTGTGCTTCAGCGCTACTGACATTTTTTAGGTGGGTATTGTTAAACCGGATGCCTACTATATTCTGATGCTTACAATCCCCTTCTGTTTGCTTACATACCTTCATTCTGAACATTTGATACCCTGGTGCACCTTTTTCACTTCATGTATTCCATCCTAGATAAGAGTGATGGAACTTTTCACTCTATTTTCCCTAGTTTTTCCAATGCCCTCGGTTCGCTGGATCGTACCATGGTCATTCAAGGTCTCTGATTTCAGCTTGGTATCTGATCGGTTGAATGTTCCTCTAAATTAAGTAGCATATAGGGTACAATGAATTTTGTATAGTCTTAAAACACCGTCTTCATTTAAACATCAACAAAAATTCTACAGTTGACTAACTCGCCAGAATCCTTGCAAACCTACAGTGGATTTCTTCTGAATTTCTCAGTATCATTGGAGGTCAAGTATTCTGCTCGTATTAATTCTTTCTTTTGTAGAGATGATGTGCAAATGTCGACTGCGATGCGGACAAATGTCAATGCAAAATTCTAGGCAAATACAAATACCAGTTAACTACGATGCTTTTCAGGGTAACCTTTTGTCTTCTTTCTTTTTTATCTGTACACAAGCTGTCTGCTCCTCCGAGATTTACGGCTTGTAAATAGGCAGATAATGTGGTCATTATGTGCCACTCCAATACTATAGATTGTTTTTGTCGAGTTGAAGACCATCTGAACGGCATACTTAGCTGGTCGCTACCCCAATACCTTAGGCGTATTGTTTCTAAGTACGTTGAAGTTCATTGAAACACCACATCAGCTTATCATATACACCACCACGAAAAAAAGAAACGTCTGCTCTTATTTTGTTCGTTTTCTAGTGCTTTTAGCACCAATTAGTGCAGGTCTAGTGGACTACCTTGTACGTTACTATTTCCTTTTACTACCATAGTAATAATGATAATAATAATAATTATTTTCATCATACTTTAATAATCCTAATGTGATAACATTTTTCTTTCCCTGCTTCTTTGCGTTTTTCTGCCTCCACTGTACTTCCCTAGAGCTTGCTGAAGATACCTACAGCTCACCTTGACTTGGACTCCATAACCACTGAATGAGAAAAGTTCGAATGTGTTTTCGCCGATCCACAGGCAATGTATCCCATTTGGGTAAAAAGTATTGATGCTTATATGCTTCCCCTCACGAGTGATCTGTTTTTGGTCATTAGTGGCATTTATCCAAAATACACGATGCGCTTTTGAACATTGTCAATCCGGACAACAAGATTATGATATCTAAAGAAACTAGCTTACTGATTCTTGTCACAAACGGATTCAAGACACGTGACTTGTCTATGAATGATTTCCTCGGATTATTGGATGATCGTGAGTAGGTAAGTGGAGGTTAAGAACATTTTCTATGCTTTCAAAGCGAGAACTTCTGTGTGTTGCATAACTCACAAAGATATTTGATCAGAACAAGTAAGTAGACAATTTTATTCAAATTACGCTACTCACCTTTTTGTTCAAAGAGGCAATTTTTACTATCTTCAACTTCTATTCAAGGTGACATAGGCCAGTGTTTTCCTCCAAGTCAGTTCGTTCATGCATCCTGCATAATAGTCGTGAGACAAGACCTCATTCCGTGTGCAGCATTCATTTTGCTTCGGAATCGCTGTTGTGTGCATTGCGATTGAAATGGACTGGTGACCACCAGATTTTTGCGATCACTCAACGTCTGCGTCCGCTGAAGTCACTTTTTATCATTTTAATGTGATCAAGTTATCTTATTGGATAAATTTTCAGATGGCCTTCAAATACACCAATGATTGCTCCGTCTGTCTTTGCGAGCACAATAAAAAACATGTTAAAACAAATGGTGGGCGGATAGTAAGTGACTGTTTGTGCATCGTCATCATCATCAACCGGAACTAGTACAAACAGGCTTCCACTGCCACAAATTTTGGCATTGTACTATTTTCCGGAATTTTACGTCTGACTGTTATTCGTGAAAGAAGCTGGAAGAATGATGATCATCCCAATCGCAAAGCAGTTTAAACCACATACAAAATCGATGCACCTTTTAGTACAAATCGCATCGATCCTTCCGGTGACTGCCTTGATAATTTGTGTCTCCTTGTGTATCAACATGAATTTCGGTCTATCCACACACTGTACGGTAGGCAGAGCATGACCACTCCCCTCTTCGGGGCTCTAACCCTACCATCAGAGTGCCAATTTTTTGCCCTCACTGAGTGCAGCGGTTAGTGAAGAACAGCCACAACGAGGCACGTGGCTTGTCGCGATCGGTATCAGTTCTCTCCTTCGGCTCGCCCTGATCCCGTCCGTGATGGCTAGCTATTTGGTGACATTTGGCCGCATTCTCGGCCGAGCATACTGTGTCGGAATACGATTTCTGTTCATGATGAATTTTGCGGAAATCACATTTTTGCTTCTCATGTCCTCGATATCCTCATCAAGTAACTACGGTAATTCAAATCCTTTTTTCCCGATTGAGAATTAAATTGCAATTGAGTAGAGGCACATCGAAACACTCTGGCTGTATTCGTCCTCATGTCCGTCCTATTCATGACTCTTGATTCAGCGCTGTTCTGCCTGCTGGCGGAGCACACTGGGAATTCGTACTTGGTAAGATTCATTCATTGCCTGAAAGCTGGTCGGTTCAGTTCAAATATGTATACATGCTATTCTATTGTGATAAATTTTACTTTTATATTGTTCTCATTTGTTGCACTGAAGAAAACTGTGATGTGATGAGGAGTGATAGATTGGATCACCGGGTGCACGAACTCAGATGCGATTGTTTAAAAGCGTTTGACTGATCTATCTTGTTTACCACTGCTTTGTTTTACTAGCAGAGATATTATTAATAAAGTAATGCTACTTATTTCACTCCCCGTTTCAGCGACGTCAGTCTCGGATTAAAAGAAAACTTCTGATTGCTTATTCGTTCACTCTCCTCGTTCTTGCGACCGCTTACTTCGTTCACACCTGCTACTGTCCTCCGTATGGTGAGTTGCCAAATTTTTACAACCCCTAATCCCTTCTTTGTATTTTCTGCTACGAATTCGATTTATGCTTTAGAATAATTTAATTAAGAACGGATTTAGCTAATAAGAAGTTTAAAAGAAACTGAACTGTTTGTCACTGAATAAGAGTTATTAAGTTTTACTGTAAATAAACTACTGATACAAGGTTTTCTCGACGGCAAACCGCGTTAAGGAAAGATCATACATTTTCGAGGGGGAAATTTGAACATAACTACGAAATGGTGAGATTGCCCAGTGTGGTTCGGGGATCATTCTTCTAAATTTCAACTGATGCTTCTTAATAAAAGGATTTATATATCATGGACACAGTGACTTTTAATAAGCGGGGAGCGAATTGCTTGAATTGTTCACATGTTTAAATCACGATAACATCAAGGTGATCAATAATGAGGCATGTGTTTTACAACACAAAATCAAGTCATTAGCATTAACCCATTCAGAAGTCTCCTCTGAGATAGATGATACTGGTTATCACGACTTGTTCAAAGCATAAAATTCAAACCATGGAAACCCATCTTGTACCAACAGAAAGGACTCCATGTTCTCTTGGCTCCATCCTGGTAATGTGATTCAGTGTGACCTAATACATGAATTGTTTTTCGGTAGAAAGCATCAGTTGCGATGCAACAAAATGATTCCAGAAATATATCTTGCAATCTCTCAATTTTTCGTTCTTGGTAGAGAGGATCTTGCTCATTAGTTTGCGAGGTTAATCACAGTTTTACATGTGGTATGTTGAGGAATCAATTGGAAGTAAATTTCTTTAGAATTACCATTTTGTTTTGTTTTATCCACTTATATTATGCGATTCATTTGATTTATCCATCTATCTATCTGTCTATCTTTATATCAGTATATCTATCAACAAACAGCCCATTGCAAATTTGCATTGGGATATTTCGAAGGTCGTGGTACTATCACCTATGAAAACAAGGAATTAATGTATATTTCATCATTTGAAGTTTAAATATACTTCCAACTTCTAAAGGAAGCAAAAAATGCGAACATAACCACTTACTGCTTCCTCAGTTATTTTGCAGCAGTGATGAAACTGCTAACTCAGTGTAATTGCGTAATTAGGGAACCCAGTTGTCTTGAGTCTTACAGATAGCGTAGTGAATTGCTTAACATCCTAATAAAATTATCATGTTACTAAGCTGGGTGACAGTAGAGCTTTTTACCTTAAAAGTCAGGTGAGAGTGGTGGACTTTGAATCTCGGATTTGAGGGTCTCGGGAAACCAGCAACTTAAACCGCCAATGAACCAAGACATATCGGTCTGCTGCTAAACCATTTAAGACGATTTTGCATGCTTCTTTCCAATTTAGTATGTGCATGGCAAACTTCGGATATCATTCAAACACTAAGCAGTTCTGATATACGCATCATTCCTGAGTTTGGAAAATATTACGCGAATGTGTGAAAGATTTCGATTATATCCGGCATGGTGCACAACGACCTTAGTCCCAATCTTACGTATAAGTCACGTGAGGCGGTAAATCGGGAGCAGTTTGAAATGATAAACATTATTTTCTCACCGATGGAAAAAAGCTATCAAGGAATGCGAAGTGACTGTTTCGAAAATATTTCCTGCAACAAAGAGAGTTTTGTAGAGAAACGAAGGCCATGATAAGCTGTTGCATAACTATCGGTACTAATTCAACCGTAATGTCCTGCCAAAAATAACCGTCACATGACTGACTACGTCATCTTGGATGGCAATGGGTGTCTGCAACTGACATGAGGGGGTTTATCACAAATGAACAGTGAAGGGACTGGTGAGACACTAAAAAAATAGCACACAGGTATTACATCGGTTGATACACATGCATCAACCTGAACCTCTGTTGAAACTCAGATCCGTTCCAGGCAGTTCAGTGGCTGTAACTCTATAGTTAGTAGTAGCAGTACAATTTTCAGTCTGTTCATGCACGCCAATATCAATAACCGTCTCAGTTTAATCGACTGTTGATAAAGGAACACAATCAGAGGTTGCGTGATCCGCCGAAATCCGGTTCACTCAGCTCTTCTAACTGCGACGCTGAAGGAGAGGACAAAAACTAAAACCCCGGGAGAAACCTCAAATGCACAGTCAAAAGAACGACCGACGATTAAACGAATAACACTGTCATATATGCAAGGAATCTCGGAAATAGCAGACAGATTGTTACAACCATCAGGAATTTTGGTTACACACAAAACAACAGCGACAATGAGGGCTATCCTGTCAAGGCCAAAGGATCAACTACCAAAGGACTATTCCTGAAACATCGTATACAAATTAAAGTGCCGATACTGCTACAAATACTACGTGGGACAAACCACCAGAAAGCAAAAGACACGACTCCACGAACACACTGGCGGTCAAACGACACGAGGAGAAATCACAAATCTCAATCCACATGGATGCTAAGAATCATGTCTTGAAAATGGACAAAGCAAGAATAANATAATTGGAAGAGGATCCACTAAGTCAATGCGGGAATTCATCGAAGCATGTAACTCCAGAACGGATAGTATAAATAAGCACATAGAACTAGAATCTATCTATCGTTATTAAAGGAAACGCTGGTAACCCGAAGGTGCCCCAGCTAGAACCGGTCCAAAACCAGTTCTTA